TAAATAATACTAAAATGCATCCTTACAATAATATGGATAATACAACAAAAGTGGGTGGACGTTGATGTAAATAATACTAAAATGCATCCTTACAACAATATAGATAATACAACCAAAAGTGGGTGGACGTTGATGTAAATAATACTAAAATGCATTCATACAACAATATAGATAATACAACCAAAAGTGGGTGGACGTTGATGTAAATAATACTAAAATGCATTCTTACAACAATATAGATAATACAACCAAAAGTGGGTGAACGTTGATGTAAATAATACTAAAATGCATTCTTACAATAATATAGATAATACAACAAAAGTGGGTGGACATTGATGTAATTAATACTAAAATTCATTCTTACAATAATATAGATAATACAACAAAAGTGGGTGGACGTTGATGTAAATAATACTATAATGCATTCTTACTACTATTAAACAGAAGTATATTCCAATCACAATTTTTCCATTTACTAAAAAAAATCATTTTTAATTTAACTAAAAGTGAAATCAACATGCTGAAAAATGAGCTTCGAAAACAAAAATTCAACTTAATAATGAAGTACACGACGGAGGTGTACACAATGAAACAGATAAAAAAAAACATTAAAGAGCTGAAGAAACAGCTAAAAGAAACTAATGAAACTCTTCAGTGCAAGACATCAAATCTTATATTAAACAACTTACACGGACGAACAATCTTATCTTTTCCTTTGTTCATATTAAAAATTATAAAACTTTTGGAAAAGTTTTCCTGTTGTTCTATTCAAAGATCAACTATTTTCCCTACGTTTCAACAGTCTACTTGCATGATCATGAAAGCTCGTAAGTGTAAAGGGAAGAAAATTTTGTTTTATTAAAGTAGAGAAAAATGTTAGTTTGGAAAATCTCTAAGTGTTCAAATCCTGGTATTGATACATCAAAGAAACTGAGAAAAATACTCATTAGGAACATATGAATTATTTTATAAGCCACTAAATGTTCTGGAAGCTCCTGATGATTGAAAGAATTTGTGAAATTACAGGTCTATTACTTTGTCTTCTCCTGTTGCTTAGATTTTCACTAATATTAGAAGTTTAAAATTATTCAAACTTAACAATTCCTTCTGTAAATAGTTTTTTTAACTGTCTGTAACTACAACTGTAGTTTTGTCTGTTATGACTAGAGAAAAAACAGTAGTCTACCACAATTACAACAGAAAATTGAGTATATCAAAGTCTAGCACTAATACCTCAGAAGGCTGAGTACATCATATTGAAATGTAGAACATGACAGGACATGGCGACAAGGACTGTAATTACGTTGTAAGGTTCCAACTTCAGAAGGCCGAGTACGTTATACAAAAACAAATTTTAATATGTAAATCAGCAAGTCTCCTGACAACCACAACTGTTATAAAGTTGTGGTAGAACAGCATGCATCAGTACTATATTTTACATTGTTTGGAACTCCACGGGTAGTGTGATATTACTGAAGATTGATTGCTTTTGAGAAGATTATGTAATGCAAAGTATTAACGCACTAAGATGATAAAAATGTGTTCACACTGTGGATTTAGAATTTCCAAAACTTGGATATACACTTGTACTTAATGGAATTGTAAAACACAGGAATACTGATCAACTCAGAGCTTCAGGTGAGAATCCACAAACACAAAGATAAGCAGCAAAAACATCCATATGTATGAGGCAATAGTAACCAACACAATCGCAAACAGTCTCTAAGAAAACATGGCCAACATGGTATGGATTCACCAAGATAAGGAATTTGGTCATACCTCCCATTCATCCATTAAATACCTCAAACAGCTGGAGAATGAAACAGGTATTCATACTATTCCACGTGAAGATATACCATTCAAGTCATCAGAAACAATGCCTATAGATTTATGTACAATTACTGAAACGGGAAACCAATGTTCTCATACACCGAAGAGATTATGGAAAGTATACAGGGAGGAGTAGTACTGTGTTTCTGACATGACAGCACCTTTTGCAATGGAACGTGAGTTCACGCTGAAGAAATAGCAGTCTGATAACTTATTGTTCTTTGATGTGTTAACTTCAAAAACATCTTGAAGTATTTGCATAATTGGGAACCCTTTGTTGTTAAAAGAACAAAGATTCTTTGATACACAAATATACTTAACAATAAATAAGTGATGTAAAAGCTGTATTTCACTTGAGCATTGTTCGTTGAGTCTGTGAGACAGCCAACTTCTACATTTACAGCATCAAAATTAACATAATAAAAAGTATAAAAGTTAAAATAATGATAAATAAGTTTAAATTGACAATTAAATAATTGTTAGGACAAGAGACAAATCTGTATGGTTAATAACGTCTGTTGTTTTCTGTGTGTAGCTTTCATAGAAACATGTTTTCTTGTACCTGTCCATCTGCATGAAGATAAAGTATATTACTTATAAGTTGTAGAATTGCTAATCTTGCACGTAAACATGTGTAACTTGAATGTTATTTTTTTATCTCCTCAAGTAATATTCATGGAGCCTTTTTTTCAGTGAAAACTCTTCTGCAGGGCTATTGGCAAGGTACATGGTCACCAGGCACAGAGGTTGAGTATGTTATATTAAACCAATTTTGAAGACCCGCCACCTTGTTATAGTCCATGTCGAAACGTTCAGTCATGCTTTATCTGATGAATCTGTATCTTGACAATAGCCCTGCACCATAAGTATATTTAAACTTAGTATAATAAACTAAATTCTCATTATTTCTTCTGTCTTTTAAAAAACAAATACAAAACTCACAGGCCAACAAACCTGATCCCGACGAGTCTGATGAGCTATTTGCAATCGTCTTAGCAAAGGTACTCCATTTCGATTCTGTCTCTTCAAGGTCCAGTATCCTAGCAACCTCTGTAGAAACTGGTGTTTCTTTGGCATGGAAATCATCGCTGCTACCTTGGTTAGTCTATGAAAATTACAATAACTATGTGTGTTCATTTGTTGTAGTAACCACAGCTTAAAACTTTAAACAAAACAAATATCTGATGCACGGAATAACATTCTCTTCCTAAAGCAGTTTTGGACAGATGTGAATTAAATTTCTTTGCTCCACAACAGAACCTATTATATCTTGTTTAGTACAATGATGACAGATCTCATCATCACACAAGCAGCTCTATTTCGTTGGAGACACCTCTAGAAGGTAGAGAAACAAACAGTTCAGTTATAGCTACTTTAGGCAGTCTTCATGATGAACAAAAAAAAAGGCTAAAATGAGTAGAGACTGTTGAGTTCAGAGTGTTACTTGAAGACTTATCTACAAAACCAGTTTGTCTTCAGTTTGAAGATGGAACTTTTTTACAAATATCATCCTTTCCACCTGAGCTACTTTAGTAGATGATTCCTACTCAAGTATCACTCTGACCTATACAGTTGCTGCCCATTTTAACCTTTTTTTTTAATTATTGAGATGCATAAACTACAACTTGGAAGAAAACCTAATGATAGCTGTCTTAACTTGTTATCAAGAAAGTTATAAATAGTAACTTTCAAGATTTAAAATAAATTTATATGAAGTACTAACAGACACCAAGTTTATGATACAAAAGCAGACTGTTAGTAAGTTTTAGTTGGAAAAATATAAAATTCACTATTTACCAGTTTTGTATGTACATTTTAAACAACTGATAAACTATTCTACTGCCATTCCACAAACAAACCATTGTTATTGAATCTACAAATTCCCTGTTTGAAATAAATGTGATTGTTATTCTGAAGAATGGAAGTTCTGTTGTATCGTCCTCCAAGTGTTATAAATCTATTCGACCAATGTAAATCAAGCGCCTGCATCACCTGTCCTTTGATTTGTTTTAGAATTTATAAGATTTTTTTAAGTCTATGAAATTTCCAAAATTTTGTCACAAGACAGTTTCAGAAAACATTAAAAAATCATGTGAGACACAAGACATGGATAGTTATATTATCAACAGAAGATACGTCCTTACTTAAACAGAAGGATAACCAAGTGAGACACAAGACATGGATAGTTATATTATCAACAGAAGATACGTCCTTACTTAAACAGAAGGATAACCAAGTGAGACACTAGGCATGGATAACTATATTATCAACAGAAGATATGTCCTTACTTAAACAGGTGGACAACCAAGTGAGACACAAGACATGGATAGTTATCTTCTCAACAGAAGATACATCCTTACTAAAACAGAAGGATAACCAAGTGAGACACAAGACATGGATAGTTATAGTCTCAACAAAAGATATGACCTTACTAAAACAGAAAGACAACCAAGTGAGACACAAGACATGGATAGTTATAGTCTCAACAAAAGATAT